TCCCAGTTTGAGCCACATTTGAAATTGTTCTCTTATTCTGTAACAACAGTAATTGAATTCAGTTTTATTCATAGCACTAATTCTAAGCTACAGTTACTTCAAGGTACTTTAACTTATAAGGTAAAGAGCCTGCAGCACTGCACTAGAAGTACACACTTGGCAACAGTGGGAAGGAAAAACTCCCTTCCAACAGGACGAAACCTCCAACAGAACCAGGTTTAAGGAGGCAGCAGTTCACTGTGACAGGTGAGGGGTAAGAGCAGAGACAAAGGAGTTTAATAATTACTAATGATTAAATACTTCAGTGATGTACAAACACACAGGAATTGAAAACAAACGACTAAAGAAGAAATAGTCAGTGCATCAGCGTGTCTTTTAGACCCCATTCCTACAAAACTGCTCAAAGAAGTCCTGACATTAATTAATGCTTCGATCTTAAATATGATCAACCTATCTCTAATAATCGGTGTTACGTCCCCACTTAAAAGCTAGGCGATGAGGGTGGGGGACAGTAACAGTTAGATCCAGGTGGAATGAAAAGAACGCCAGGCAGAGGTATTTAATATAAAATAGATCTTTATTGTAGGCAAACACCTCAATAATCATATAAATGGCAACAACAAAAGGAGACAGCACCGCTGCTTTAATGAGAAATCAGGGAGATCAACCCAAAGTGGTAATGACCACTTCAACAAAGGAAGCAACAATAAGGCTTCAACAGAAAGAGACAGCAACACTGCTAGCAAACAATATCCAGGCAGGCCACACAAACTAGTGAAGGCTGCCGTCACTCATGGGCAATCACTGCTCAGTTAAGCACTACTCACAAAGAGCCACACGCAGCAGGCTGTTCCACACCTAAGCCAGTAACACACTCTGACCCGCACAGAGGAAATCCACCAGAAACCTCTCCCTCCTCCTCCACACTGCTCTTCTCCAGCTTATATCACCCCTGAGGGTAATTGGTTGTAACGAGAGCAGATGAGCAGCAGGTGTGACCTAAAGGAGAAGGCAGGGGCAGAGAGAGACAAGGGGAGGGGCCAGAACGAAGGAGGAGGAGAGGGAGAAGACAACACCACGCCCACACACTCCCACAGCCTCCCAGGATGTAACAATCGGCTATGTACCACAGGCCTTCAAGCTGGCTGTAGTTAAACCTTTACTCAAAAAGCATCTCTAGACCCAGCAGTCTTAGCTAATTATAGGCCAATCTCCAACCTTCCTTTATATCAAACATCCTTGAAAGAGTAGTTGTCAAACAGCTAACAGATCATCTGCAGAGGTTTATTTGAAGAGTTTCAGTCAGGTTTCAGAGCTCAGCACAGAAACAGCTTTAGTGAAGGTTACAAATGATCTTCTTATGGCCTCTGACAGTGGACTCATCTCTGTGCTTGTCCTGCTAGACACGTCTGCAACACTTCATTAGGATAATGTCACAAAACACAAGCAGACGGCAGCTTCACCTCCAAGGTGCACGGAGAAGACAAAGATCTGACGAGGTGAAGACTCCAGTCACAGAGTATCAGGGAACCATAACGTGTTAGTGGCCTTCATCAGGGTCATTGCGTTTGTGAAGGTGTGATTGGTCCACTTGGATCTTTTTCTGTTTCCAGTCTTTTTTATTTAAACACAAGCTGTTTGACATTTTGCAATGACCCAAAAGGCGTTGGCCACTGAGTACAGCTGTTCTCTAATACTTCGAGCGTCGCTGGAGTCTTCACACAAAGCACAAGTAGATCAGGAAGGGTTTGAGGGGTCACCTTGGCCTTCAACGTCGGCAGATCTCAGTCTCATCGAGCATCTGTGAGATGTGCTGGACAAACAAGGCCCGTCTGTCCTTAGGCTGTGGCATCTATTGCTGTTAGCACACAGGATGTTTCTCCATGCTGAGGTCATGGTTGGAGCATGCTGGAAATGTTAGAAGAGAAGCAAAAGGTGGAGGTCAGGGTGGGGCATTCCCCAGGGTGCCCATGTGCAGCTGGTGGTGACTGCAGCAGTGGGAAACTGGTGGATGATGAATCGAATCGAATTAAAAGAAGCCTGAAACTGTGATACTGCTGCAGACTGCAGTCACAGTGTGCAGCTGGTTTCTCTCCTCAGCTCTGGACGCACACTTCCTCCTTACGCCACAGTAGCGCTCTGTTGCTAATGGCTACTAGCTTTGTGTGTCTACTTACACGCTAAACCAGGATGTTGAATGTTGTACCTGCTAAACGTGATATCACAGTCAGTTTGTGGCGTGTGTTTGATGTTTGTGTGCAGGAAGCAGCACAGTTTGTGGGTTCAGGGTGACGTGCATCGGTCTAAACAGAAGCTGGTCCAACAGAGACTGAGTCGGCAGCAGCAGCTGCAGCAGCAGCTGCACCGCTCTGACTCTGTGCAGGGAGGCAAACAGGAGGCAGTGTCCTCGCTGCTTTCCAGCATGGATGACCTGTCAATCAACACCGTGCTCTGCAAGTCATATAGCTTGGATGAGGTCAGCGGTGTGACTTCATAGCACCTTTTCTTAATGGTTACTGCAGAATTCAAACAGGCTACTGAGTTCCGATCACAATGTTGTGTTTTCATGCTGCTAATTGTGTCTGTGCAGAATAACTGCAAAGAAGTCAGTCTGACACAGGGAGACGAACTGAGAGCACTGAAGGGAAAACGCCCACCGAGATCAGCGTCATCCTGCTCAAGGTACCAACATCTGTAATGTAATTAATGATAGATGGTTATTGTGGTCAGTGCAAGAGACACGTAGAGAATTAGCTCAAACGCTGGAAACAAAGTTTCTATTAACAAGGAGAGATAATAGACACCAATATGTTTTTGTGGATGTCAGAAAGTACGTAAGTGACTGTTGTCGAATGCTACAAAGAACGCACGCTTTGTTTGCACGCTGTCTAACAGGCAGACCGGACTGCATGAAATCCTGCTGTGTTCTCATCTGTGCAGCGTGAATGTTGTGTGTAACCTGCTCGAGCTCATGTGTCCTTCTTTGTTCTTCGGTTAAACTGAAACCTAAATGCAACAGGAGAAGTTGTTGTCTTTTGGCGACTTTAGTTATGAGTGAGATTAAGGTTCTGGAGGTTGTCAGAGTATTCCTTCTACTGCCTGACGGTGTCCTCAGCTGGAGCCAGCAGGCCTCCATCTTTACTGTACACCGTGTTGGTGGAGCACCACTTCCCCTCCTGACGCTTTGCCAGAATCGCTCCTCCTACGCCCAAGTTTTTGCTGCAGCCGCGGCCTGAGCTGCGTTTCGATTGGCCTGCCCGCTGCCTCTGCTCTCCATCCTTGGCTGCAGCCAGACACACAATCAGTAGATAATACCTCTGCTCACTACAGTTTTTGTTTGGGTCCCTGAATCCACGGCACAAATATAGCAGATATATAAGAAGCTGCCATAGTTCAAGAAACATCTTATAAAAAGTAAATAGTTACAAATCGGGGATATGAGAGCTGCGGCAAAAAGAAACCAAAGGACGACCACGAACCAAACTCACGACGTGCCTCCGGCTTCTCCTGTAAACTAACATCACCAAACTGCTAACCTGACACAACCAAGAGCTGGGCTTCCACGGAGGTTAAATCAGGTACCTCCCACACGTCGAAGCGTGTTTGTATCTCGTCTCTTGTACAGAGTGTGAGTGCAGATGTTGATTCCTGCAGTGAGCGTAGAAATCAGAAGGATTTTTGGAGAAGTTGTTCGTTGTGCTTGTTTCTGTGAAGGATCAAGTTTTATTTGCTCTTGGATCACACACACACACAAATATGAGGTGTTCTTGTTTTCTGTGTCAGGTTAAACCTGTCCAAGACTTCACACCGCTCCATCCTCCCTCCCCCGAAGCCCTCCAAAGTCCACCTCACCCCTTCTTCTACTAAGACGCTGAGACGAAGTTCCTCTACCACCACTGCTCCGCAGATCAGGAGGTTGGTGTCTGTGCTTTTGTCCTTACTAGAAGCACATTATAATAAAACCAATGTAAAATGTGATGTGCTGATGTCTCCACAGTCCCTTCAGCCTCACGTTGTTCAGCACCAGGCCAGCACTGATTCACTGACTTCACACTTGGGACGTTCTGGTCATGAATCAGCCCAGCTGATGATGGACTCGCTGGAGACTGCATCAGCTCTCTTGCACGTTTAACCCTAGAACACTATCGCTATAAATAGTAACACAATCGCTAATGCCGGGTGATTTTTACCCGATATAATATAACCAATAAAAAGTAATCAAATATATCAAAATATGACAACACATGACAAATTAGAGTGGTCTTCTTTTACTTTCAACTGTGCCATGTCTAACAAAATGAAAGAAAAACCCTCCTAAAACAAAAGAATGACTCTGGAAAGCTGGTCTTTGGTCCACCCATTCCTGGGACATTTGAGACTTCCCTGGTGAAGGCACAGGCTCCTCGACACGCAAACAGCTGCAGGAGAGAGAAATCATGTAAATGTATTTGCTCGGGTGTAAATCACCCAGCGATAGCGTTCTCGGGTTAATAGGCTGTAAATGCTTTTTTAGCCCCAATAACTACTTTTCGTTTCGACAGAGCCAACAGTTTGTCACCACTTTAACTGGTCACGTGGCCCATTCTGTGATAACAGGGCCGACACCATAAATCATCACGTCTCTTGGTATAGCAGGCAGGTAACTGTGAAAAACTGCGGCTGCATATTGCAGATATAACATCTGCTGGATGCTGAATGCCCCGCTGTCACAATCATTTTGCTGGAAGCAAAGGACACGTGCAGGTGCAAACACCAAACAACGCTTACAGGGGAGGTCGTGGCCCGAGGACTGAGTCAGACCATCGCCAAGAGCAGTCTGGGTGCTTCTGATAAACGGCTGCTGCCATTTGTCCATCCGAAGTTCAGAACCACAGGATGTAGACGGCCTGAAGCAACGTCTTGGTTGCGGAAACACAGACCTTTAGAAGTCGTACCAAAATCCACGCCTTAAACTTTGGCAGATCACATGATGGACCTAGCTTATTTGGCACGTTGTTGTAATGTCTCCTCGTTTTCAGTACTTGGTGCACATTGTTCAAGAATTAACAACTGGACGCAAAATTGTCTTGCAAGACCAAGAGTGACACACTGCTTCTGCTACAGATGTTATTTATATTCTCCCAGATTTCATCGATAAAGTATGACAAACTTATATTTGTTGGTCTGTTAATGTTCTAATGATGCAGAGCGAGGGACACAAAGCCACGACGTGCTTATAATGCACTGTGAAAGCCTCTGAGCACACATGCTGGCAATGAAAGAGGAAATCAGTAAAATGAAGACAGAGATTCTGATGTTTCACGTCAGACTGAACACGGCACGCACACTTTATTTCACAGGTCATTCACATTCATGCACTGGATTTGTCAACAGGACTTTATCATACATAAAGCAAACTCACTATGTTCAGCTTTGCACTATTTCTTTCTTGCAGTAAAATTCTTAACATGCAAATGATGTTCAGCTTTGAGCGTGTTGTTGCTGTCATGCTTTCCTGTATCTGACTGTGTGACAGCAGCTCAGATGTGCTGTCTGATTGGTAGTTAACTCCAAAGGAGGGAAACCAGCTAATGCTAGTGTGAAGTGCTAAAATCAACAATAAAGTCCAAGTAATGACGAGATAATGACTCATGCTTCTCTTTGTTATCATCACACTGTCATTGTGTCATAACCTTCACTGAAAGTCACCTGACACTGCTGTGGGATGCTGTGGGACGCCGTGGGACGCTGTGGGACGCCGTGGGACGCTGTGGGACGCTGTGGGATGCTGTGGGATGCCGTGGGATGCCGTGGGATGCTGTGGGATGCCGTGGGACGCTGTGGGATGCTGTGGGACGCTGTGGGATGCTGTGGGACGCTGTGGGATGCTGTGGGACGCTGTGGGACGCTGTGGGAAGCTGTGGGACGCTGTGGGATGCTGTGGGATGCTGTGGGACGCTGTGGGACGCTGTGGGAAGCTGTGGGACGCTGTGGGATACTGTGGGACGCTGTGGGATGCTGTGGGACGCTGTGGGAAGCTGTGGGATGCCGTGGGATGCTGTGGCATGCTGTGGGATGCTGTGGGATGCTGTGGGATGCTGTGGGATGCTGTGGGACACTGTGGGATGCTGTGGGATGCTGTGGGATGCTGTGGGATGCTGTGGGATGCTGTGGGATGCTGTGGGATGCTGTGGGATGCTGTGGGATGCTGTGGGACGCTGTGGGACGCTGTGGGATGCTGAGACTGTGGATTCCATGTGCTTGGTATCATTTGGGGAATTTAATGACCAAAACATCAGAAATAACTGAGGCGACTCTATAAGGGAATCCCCTCTGTTGACACTGTACTGAGTCAAAAGTATAAGGAACTGAGCTACATGGATTACCTGCACATACACTGACCTACGTATATGAAACAGTACTGTACCATATATGTATAACAGGGCCTCTTAAACTAAAATCCTGGCTGTATCCTTACTGTAGTTAAGTTAAATACGTCCTCTATAGTCTCCAAATCATTGTCTGGTTGGGACACTTATATTTGTTGGTCTGTTAATGTTCTAATGATGCAGAGCAGGGGACACACATATATATATATATATATATACACACACATATATATTTATATATATATACATATATATGTGTGTATATATATATATATATATACACACATATATATATTTATATATATGTGTGTATATATATGAGTATATATGAGTATGCATTTGAAGTACACTTCAAATTGGGACAGCCGTCATCGCGTGGCGGTGATGTAATCGCACTTAAAATGTGTACTTCAAGCGTGCAGACCCTGAATTGGGACACAGCCTCAGTGTTTCAGTCATAAAAACACTTCCTGTCTCCGCGGGGGCCCATCACGTATAGGTGTAACGGAGAAACAGCCAATCAAATCGCAGCTTTTCAGGCATTGGAAAAAAAAAGATTGTTTTTTACACTGAACTGTCTGAGCGCGGGTTCGAGTCCTGGTTGGGACAAAGGTTGTGTTACATTATCAAAAGTTAAACACCATTTTCAATCTACTTATTGTGGATAACATTTATTTTTTAATTTTTAGTTCATTATCATTTTATTTATATTATATAGTGTTATGGCCTGTGGAGCAATTTTTCTGCACCTATACTGTCACAAAGTGCATAACTCAGACTAAACTGTATCATCACAGTCTTGAGATGATACATAGCAGAGATATAGTCTACAATTATGGAGACATCCAACTTTTAATACAAAGACTAAAGCTAAAACTATAATACAGATACATTCTGATGACATAGAACATGAAGCTTATACATAATTTCAATAAGGCATGTCTGTGATAAATCATCTGTCTGCTTCCTGGTGGCTGTTAGTTTATGTCTATTCATTTTCCAGCACAAACTCAGTACTGACATCGTTGCTTTATTCCAGTCATGCTCTTGCCAGCCTCCACTCTGCATGCTTTAAATCGGTTGCTCTTCTGCATTTCAGATCTGCAGCCATGCAGCCCGCCTCCTCTCCTTTCTCCTCCTCACCGTGGTCACTCAGAGCCCTGTCCCAGCCTCCATCTTCATCTTCATTACTATCAGCATGTTGACTCTGGGGTGGTGGTTGTGCAACATCCTGTCACTGCTGGGATTCTTTCTGCTATGATGGCTCATAACTGCCAAACAGTTACATTTATTTCTGTATCTCAATAAATCATGTTGAGTTTTTCCACGTGATCTCTCCTTATTGAATTACTTTTGTAGATAAGCTTCAAGCCAGCAAGCAACAATACCTACATCAAATATATTATCACCAGAAGTGAGAAACTGTCTGCAGCTCCAGCTGTGCTGCATGTATTAAAGATAACGTCAGACATTGTGTGGGGGTCATGTCTGACACAGGCTGTACAGTCACACAGATAAAAGACAGCAGTCATGTTTCTAATAATATAAATGAAAACAGAAAGATTATGAAGATAAAAGCTGTGAGACTGCTCTAGGATGACTTGTTATCATTACATGAAGTGATTTAGAAATAATATGTAAGCTTTCAGGGCAGCGCTCACAACTTATTTAAACTGATTACCTGATGGGGAGCACACACAGATATAGAAACATATAGGTGAACTCTAAGAAGAAAACTGTGTTGATATTTTTGCAGAAAACTATTTATTTACACTTTTATATTTACAATCAGTTTATATTTATAGAAACAAAAGAAACATTCACAACTAGAACAAAACTGTCTTATATACAAAATCAACTGTTTCTCCCTTATTTACTGTTTTCTTCCACCATACAGCCAGCATACAACCATGCTATTAGAGGAACATCACTGGAACGTGGCCAGAACACACAAAAACAAGAACAAGACAATATATAAAAGTTCAAGTTCAGGCTCAGCTTTGCAGAGAAAACAATTGTACTCCAGTTCTGAAACCTTTCATTTGAAAACCTGTTTGCTCCTGAAGATCCTCTGGGTGTGGACCCTGCTGCTGCTGCCACAGTGACTAGTTATGCAGAGACAGAGGCATATGAGACAGAAACAGACTTAGCCATTATCACGTCTGACATGTAGTAATAACGCAGTACTTACAGCTCTGCATGTGTACTTTTACAGGTGAGATGCTCGGCATTGTGTCCTCCAGGTTTTCATCCTCATCCATCCCTGTGATGGAGGCAACAATTAGACAAATATGTACTGAATTTATATTTCATGTCAACAATGTTATTAAAATATTATTAAAACAACTTACCAAGAGGTTGTTTAGTTGGGGCGTTTGTAGTAGCAGGCGCAGACTGCTACTTCTTCCGCAGGCACTGCTGCAGCTCATGCAGCCGTGTTCCTTGACTGCAGCTCTTCCTCATGATAAGGTCTGCATAGCCGTCACCTCTGCCGTCCCAAATCTCCTTCCAGGTGCTCTTGGCTCGTGAGCCAAAGCCAACCAGCTGATCATCCTCAGAGGCTTCTGCTGCAACACTTACTCTGCTGGTCTCGTAGCTCAGAAGAGTTTTTATCTCTGCAAAGCTGAGGGCTTACTGTACAAATGAATGCAAGCTCTCCTTGCCATGCCCTTCTTCCACAGAGGTCCCTGCAGCCTCTTGCTTCTGGAGATCTTTGATCAGGTACGTGGTGTCCCCGACATCATTCTCCAGAAGCCACCGGAAAGATTTCCCTTTATATTTTCCAAACTGCAGGATGTACTCTCCCTGCACTTCCTTCATGTCAGAGGCATCCCCTCCTCTCTGATAGATGACAGTCAGAGCATCGTCCTCCCTCACAGGTGCAGACTTGTCCTGAAGCTTGGGGTCATTTTTAATCCTTCGAGCTTCTTTTGACGAGTCCTGGAGAAGGTATCCAAGTGGCCCCTTGTGGAACGCCACAGAGATTTTCCCTGGATATGGCGCAACTTTCTTCTGCATCTTGACATGCAGTGAAAAAATAAACAATTATATTAAACAAAATTGATTCCAAACACAAACAAAGACATTCCAGGTTATAATCTTGCTGCTGGGTTTACACAGCAGGATGCAGGAGAACAATAACGAGACACAATTTGAAAGAACATTGACAACATTTGTGATAAAAGTGTTTTTTACTCCAGGTATAACAAACTGTTCTGTCTGTAAATAAAAACCTTTCATGGTTGAATGATTA